TCAAATTACTGGAGAGTAGCCGATGCCATTGGGAAGAAGTGTTGCTCACAAGATATGTGTTTCAGCTTTGGAGTTGGCAAAGACATTGATTTCCAAAGAGGTTCTAAAGAGCTTTCAGCGGGGGGTGGGGTTCTTAATTCGCTGACAATCATAGTCCCTACAACTTGTATGATAGATCTTAGTAGTGTTTCGTTCTGTACCTACCCAGGTGTAGTGATTTTGGGCACTCTGCAATGTGGCAGTTCAGCGAGATCCTTTGCCTCCTGCACGCCTCATTTGATGGACAGACAGCACATGATCTCACACTACCAGGATTGGGCACAAGATGCCTTCATCATCCTGGCGTCCGAGTCGTTCTGGAAGTGTGTGGATGAAGAGAAGGTAGCATGCCCGAGAACTTCCCCTAGACTCATCTGGGTTGCTGTTAAGGAACTTAAATTAAGTTACAACAATGGGTATATATAGTAAATAATGGGGTTTCCCCAATGTAGTACCTTAATTTAAGTTCCTTAACAGCAACCCAGTCATTGTCAACCATGCAGCTGTAGCCGCAGAATGCATACAGAGAAATGCACTTCAAAGAGATGTGCAGTTACGCCTTCGCAGGCTGCAAAGACAGCACTCGCAGCCGCACTGAAGTTCGGTGCCTACCACTGGCGTTGCTGACGCCAGTCGACGGAATCCTTGTGTCGGTTGGACCAGTTCATGCCTATCAGACAGCAGGTGCAAGACCTTGGGGATTCCATGTGGCTTTTGAGGGTCGAGCATCTCTTGCACTGACTTCCCTTCTCACTGATCCTGCACACCTGAGCCATAGTCTAAACTGCTTAAAGGGGGTTTTGTAGGGGTTTATATGGGGGACTACTATAGGGGTTATTAAGGGGGATACTAGGAGTTTAGACTATAGCTCACCTGACATACTGGAGGCATGCTTCTCCAGAGGTTGCCTTGATGGAGGCCGCTGGAAGGGCCAACTCCCCACATCGAAGCCGATCCAACACAATCCAATTCTTTCCCTAGGGATCCAAATAGCTCAATGTACTACCCTAATAATGGAGAATCAAATGGAAAAGCAAATGGAACATGAAATGGAAACTAGGGGTTTATAGGGATGTATAGGGATCCAAATAGCCCGAAGTAGGCGTTCTGTATAGACTTTAGGACCCAATGTAGGCATTATTTATAGGCTTGGATCCCCTGGGTCTGTGATTTGCTTGGTGCGCATTCTGCCATCCTGGTCACAGATGTTATTAAGGCCTAAACCCTAAACTTTTGAGAGCAAGAGCCTTTGATGCAGGTGGTGTCAATATGCCATTCCCAGAAAGCCCAACATCCCTTGATTAGGGAATATACCCTACATGATACTGATTGAGGCATATTCCGTAATTAAGGGATATTGGACTTTCTGGGTTCTGATTCTGAGCACGCTTCTCTACGGCAAAGCCAACAACTCCTGCCGCCCCCAAGGCAGACGCGATATCCAGGATACCTGTAACTTACCGGGGGTTCGTAGGGAATAAGAGAATAGATTATATGAGCCAGGGTCAATACTCGTTTGTAAGGAATTACGTTGGTAGCGGACATGGGAAGCAAAAACACTGTAGAGCGACGGGAACATTGAAAAGGGACACCCGAGAGTTTTCAGGTGAAAATCCTGTAAAGCGACGGGGAGCAATGAAATGCAACACTCCCTATTTCACAAAGTTGAGCACACAACTTGTACAGCGAGAGGAACCATTGAACCCCCAAATTTGGCAGTAAGGAGTTCTGACCGTCACTTATATTTTTGGGATTATATTCCCTTGCTCATCAATAACCTCCAGAAAGATAATGATCCGAATGGTTCTCGTATTGCTACTGGTACATCGTCTTCTAGTTGTTCTCGCCGTTGAGTGGTTTTCTTTCTGTCTCCGAGGATTCTTCATGTGAGGTTTTGGGCACCAGTGCCACCCCTTCTGTATGTGTATGTATATATATATATATGTACACACATTATTCTTACATATATGTGAGGGGTGATGAAAACCCCCCACCCGTTTAAATGACCCTTAATCCTGCTATCGTTTGTTTTTACTCTTGTCGTTTTACAAAGTTTCGCCGTTATCGTTCATTTTTACTGTTATCGTTTTACAAGGTTTTGACTTCAAGGA